CCTTATAGCATCCTGAAATATTTGGGGGACTAGGTAGGTCGTGGGGTTCTAACCCATTGGTTTTCTAACATCCTTTCGTAACTCCATTTTGCTATCTTCATGACATTCTGGTCCATTTTTTGACAGATTCTGTTAAGAAAACATGGAGATTAGGAAATCTACTTTCCTATAGCCTACAGGACTTCCTGGAACAGGGTAGAAATTTCTCTTCCCTGAAGAGCTCAGATATTGCCAGAGCTGCTTCTCGTGTGTATAGCTGTGGCTGCAGCGTCTGCTGCCCGTGATGGATGGTAAAGGAAATTAGCCTCTTGAATATTCACCGTCCACTCACTTGGCCTTCAGAATATCTCCATTCCTTGGGCTTTGTACCTAGTAGTCTTTTTCCTTATTTCCTCTTTTATATATATGTGATTGTTTGATAATATGTTTGCAAAAGGCTCTAGGAGAGTTAAACAATTTGGTAATGAAATAACAATTCATGATGCCTGTTGGTGGGACCCCTGGTCTAGTGTTTCTACCCCTTCATCTGTTTCTTTTAAAGACACCACCATCTTCCGACTGACCTTGAAATTCTGAAATCTCAGAGTAGTGTTCATTTCCTCCCCTTCCTTTTTCTCACATCTAATGGGGTGCTAAGCCCTGATAATTCGGTAGTTCTTTTTTGTTTTCCTATGACTCCAGTCCTGGTTTAAGTCCACCCTGATGCATTGTTGACTTGTTATTATTATAGTGGTTTTCTTTTTCTTTTCTTCCCTATTCACTTACTATCTCTGTGCCTTGGGTAAGTACCTTGTTCCCTGTTGAAAAAATAGGGAATGGTAATCTCACAAGGTTGTTGGGGGTGGGGTGGGGGGGATAAACCGGATACTGTATAGAATGCAGTACTATGTATTCTTAGAATAGTAATTGGTACATAGTAGCTGCTGTAGACTGTTAGCTATGCGTACTATTGTGTCTAATGTACCATCCTTATACATTCCTTTTATCAGGCTCCACCCCTGCTCAAAAGTCTGCAGTCTATCGTCTACTTAATAGTAGTCTCTAAAGTAACCATGCAGATGAATTGCCAGAAGAAACTCTTCTAACTTCTTATATGTTTTTATCCTATTCTTGAATATTTTCTTTTCTTTTTTTTCCCCTTTTTCTTTTTTATTTTTTTGAGTGTCACTCTGCTGCCTGAGGCTAGAGTGTCATGCTATCAGCTTAGGTCACAGCATTCTCAGACTCCTGGGTTCCAGCAATCCTCCTGTTTCACCCTCTGAGTAGCTGGGACTACAGGCGCTTGCCACAATGCCTGACTAATTTTTCTATTTTGGGTAGAGACAGGGTCTCAGTCTTGCCTTGGACTCCCAGATTGCTAAGATTACAGGTGTGAGCCACCATGCCTGGCTTACATTTTCCATTTTTTGAGTTTGTTTTATAGTGTATATTTTTGAGCGAGGGCACATATTTATAATTTGTAAAATACAAGTACATACTTTTGTAAATGAATGTATATATATTGGTGGTATGTTAAAAAATATTTTATTGTTAGAGGAGTGCACGCAACCATGTTTGGAGACCCCAAGCCTGGCATTTCCATGTGGCTGGCCCCAGCCTGTAGTCCTGATTCCTTTTCAATGTCCATGTCCTTGCTCATCCCCTTTCTCTGCTCCTATAATATCCTCCCTCATTCTCCCATTTTCTTTTCTTATCCGAAGTTCATCTTAAATGCCACTTGGTCCATAAGCCAGGCCATTTCTAGTTCCATGCCCCGTAAGTATATTTTCTCGGTTACACATTTGGCCCCCATTGTTTTCTGTGTTGTGTCAAGACCTTCTTGCTCTGTGGTTATTCTGTGTCAATTCTTACATGGACGTGCCTTTAAATTACATTTCACTTGCTGACTTTATTTTGAGCTGTTTTGTCATTTCTCTCATTTATCATTTACCTGGAGACATATACCTATACTTTTGGATGACATTAATATATCTATTTTTTATCACAGTAATATATAATCCTTTACTCTAAGGAAAAGATCCATTTGTTAAATTTGTGATCTGAATCTCCTTGGATTTGACAGTATGCATCAGCTTGAAGCAGACATTTATCTACAGCGCATTAATGAACACTTTTTGTATGTGGATTCGTTATTTTACTCCAGGTGACATAAAATCATAATCCGTGTGTTTAATGCCTCATTTTAGCACTTCTAGTCCTGAGTTCTGCATGGCCTCCTGGGAGGGAGATCATCCTAGTGAGGAAAGCTGGATGGTACACACAGCATATCCATTTAATCTGGGTTTCCCCCCTCCTCAAACATTGTCAAATGGCTGTTTCTGTCAGCCATGTTTCAGCAGTTCCTGATAGCAGCTGTGCAACCACTGGATGTGGAAGCAGAAGAAACAGGTTTAAATCTTGATTTTACCACTTGCTGGTTATTTGAACTCAAGTCATTTAACCTCATCTGAAACATAAGTTTGATTAATAACCTATACATCTTCACAGCATTATAGTAAGGATTAATTGGGGGTGGTGTCTGTAAATGTGCCTGATATGGGGAGGTGGTCAATAAATATCTGTTTAAAGGAAAAGCGAAAATAAAAGGGCCTCTTCTGCCCTCTGTGAGCCTTCTGATGCAGGGTTTATTGTGAGGAGAGACGGGTTCAGGGAATACACCAAAGTTAGGCTTGAGGCTCAAGTCTGAACATCTTGTTGGCCTGGTTTCTGGACTTGTCTCTACTGGAACGTCTATGGCTTCCCCAGGGAGCATGAGGATTAATTAGTTAATCTTTGTAAAGTGCTTTGAAGGTGAAAAGTGCTTGCTATGTAAGTGGAATAGTAGAATTGCTATTGGAGATGTAATAATGGTAGCACCATGTTCTGGCAATCTTGCCTGTCTTAGACATCAATAATCAATATCAGAGAAAGTTCTGAGATGTTTTACTTGATGTTAAAGAAAGGACTCATTTTGTGATTTGTGATAATGCAGTTCTTTCTGTAGTCTTGCAGATAGCAACTTCCTAGTTCTTCCCAGCTTGGGAATGCTAAGGTCATTTAAGCAACAACAATCTCTTCCTCTGGTTTCTGGGGAATCTCTTGCCCAGGCAGTCTCGTTATAAAATCTAGCTAGTTCAGGTTGGACAGTTTGCCAGTTTTAGATGCTTCATGGGTTTCATGGGTCCTGGGCACAGGGGCCTCTTAGAGTCTAATACCACAGAAGTGAAAGAAGGGTGTGGAGTGACCAGTTTGAACAACCAGTGCAGAGTGCTGCCATGGCTAGTAGAAAGAGACATGGCTGAGCTGTGTGACCCTGGGCAGGTCACTTCTCTGAACCTTCATTTTCTCACCTGTCAATGGCAGCAGATTACTTGATGCATATAATAGTAAAGGTGGTTCACAGGAAGGTGAGTTTCACCTTTCTGGAGAGAGTTGTGGAGTCAAGAACTAGTTTTCATAGGACTAGTATTATACAAGATAGACTCTAAAGTAGGTGTCCTCAAACTACGGCCTGTGGGCCACATGCGGCCTGCGTAGGACATTTATCCGGCCCGCCGGATGTTTTTGCTGCCACTGCCTGTCCTGCTTAGCAGCCGACTTGTCCTGGGACCCGCAATCCGGCCCTCCAATGGTCTGAGGGACAGTGAACTGGCCCCCTGTTTAAAAAGTTTGAGGACCCCTGCTCTAAAGGTTGAGTCATAGTTTGCCAGGTAAGGAAAGGGGATTGATAGCAAAAGGAATAGCACATGTAGATCCATGAAATAGTATATCTGAATGGAACCACTCCAAGCCCTTGTTATAAATCAGGTACCCTGTGGATTGCACAGACTTTGTTCCCTCTTTGAGGAAGCCCAGAAGTCAGATTCCTGTCAACTGCTTGGTATCTGCTTCTTAGTGTCTGCTAGCAGGTTGATCCTGGGAAGTTCTTTCCTGCAGAGCCTTGTATCCCTGAGATATTCTGACATTTCCCGCATGAATCTATGGTTGTTTTTTAGCTGACACTATAAACCATATGTTAAATGTGGGGCCAGATGAAGCTCTGATACCAAACATAGAGTATGTAGTAGATTTGTCTAGGATTTAATATGCATTACTTGGTGTTTTGTCTCTTAAGCAAAGTTTTTCTTTGTTAAAATAAACATGTATAAAGAATTTATACAGCGCACATGGTTATGCATATTTATTGCAGAGAATCTGTTAATAATCTATGCCTCATCGGATTTTGCATTTTGTTGAAATAACAAACACAGCACTTAGTACAACTGAATGAGCTTGGTGAATTTTCTCTTATCTGGGAGAGGAAAGGCTATTTCTTCTTTTCCAAACTTAATTTTCTTCTATTATCTTTAGTATTGGCCAGTTTCCCATGTGGTACCCCTAGGGGACTGTATGCTTTTCTGATTCCAAATGGTTTTGCCTTTTTTTGGTCTTCTCTCACTTCCTTCCCTCTGCTACACATAGACACTTGCCTTGGAACAGTTAGAATTGCTCCTTTGGGTAAGAACATATATTCTGAAAGGTCCTTTTATGTTACTTGGAGGAGAAAACACATAAACTGGCCGTTATTTGGGCTAAGAGGAAGGTCCCTAAGAGATTGTGGCATGGGGAACTTCACGATGCCTAAATGGGTAAGGGAGAAGAGGTCCTGAAAATGGCACCTGGGCAAACACAAGGAGGGTGTGGAGCAAGGAGTCAGTAGGTCATAAAAGATGGTTGAAGTTTTGTCTGTAGTCATATCCATATCTATATCTATTAAAAATGCAAGAACATAGGCTTTACAATCAACCTCTATTTGAATGTGGTACTCATGACGTGTTTGATGTTGGCCAAGTCATTTAACCTCTCAATCCTCACCTCTGTAAAAATGTGAATGTATGTGCTTTCTTTATAGGAAGATAGGAAGGCTCCTGGCACGTAATGGTTTGTGCTAAATGAATGTTCATGCTTTCTCTTGTAATTCATTGCTGACCCATGAGAGCACAGCTGTGGAATGTAGCCTTCATTCAAATGTTTGTTTTTAGAAACTGGCAAGATGTTTACCTGGGGCCGAGCAGACTATGGTCAACTAGGGAGGACGCTGGAGTCTCATGAAGGCTGGAAACTAGAAAAGCAGGATTCATCTCTCCCCTGCTCAAGACCACAGAACAGCATGCCTTCATCTCTGCACTGCTTATCGGGAGCAACTGAGGTAGGATGTGGCTTCTCAGATATGTGATGTGTCTCTCCTTTTTGTCTTTCAGTGAAGCATTTATTGAGGGCTTACCGTGTGCCAGGCATTATGATAGGTTCCATGTAGGAATCTGAAGGGGTCCTTGCCCGTGAGGAACTCATAGTTCAATATGGTAGAAAAGTCAGTTACCCGGGTAACTATATGATAAGACAAACTGTGTGTAACTCCTTTATATAGGTTCAGAGTACTCTGGGTCCACTGTGGAGAGTGAGAATTGAATACAGGGTATAGGGATTGGCTTAGATTTTGAGAATGATGTGCTTTGAGCTGTGTCTTAGAGCATGGGTGAGACATGAACAAGAAATTGTAGCAGAGAAGAGAACCTTTAGGTGAGCCAAACAACTCGAACAGAATTATGGGGGTAAGAAAGTGAAGAAAGTATGGATGGTTCAGTTTGGCTAGAGCATGGGATGTCTCCGGGGGCAATTATGGATAACGTCAGAAAGATGGGTTGGAACCAGAGCAAGCAGCCTTTAATACTGAGCTAAATATTTTTCACTTCTGTTTATATTTCCCAGTATGGAAAACATGCTTATTCAAGCCCCTTTGGTTTTCTAAAATGGCTTGAATTTCTACAGTTAAGTCAGGAGCCTTAATTTCTCTAGGGTGCCTGTTTCGATTACCAAATTTTACTTTATTGCTGTTCTTAAAAAAAAAAAAAAGAAAGAAAAGAAAAGGCTAGAGTTTTGAGAAGAATAAGGGTGGCCATGCAGGAAATGTGCCTCTGAACCCAAGGTGGCTTTATGAAGGAATTCAGTCTTCATTCAGAGTCTGTCAAAAAATTAATAAGCTAGTGAGACTTCTGTAATTAGCATCAGACTAATTACAACCCTTTCCATACCTAGAGGGCTTCCCTTCCCCGGAGGCCTTTCTGGCCTCCTCCTTCCGGGTATGTAGGACGGTTCTCAATTTCTGCTTCACATCCCAGCCCTGGTCCTCCTGGGCCCTTCCTTAGTGCTAGGTTAAGTTTCTCTGTCTTTCTCTCTCTCCCTTTCTCTTCGATTGAAAAGGAACTGCACAACACTACAAAGACAGTTTACACATGGTCATGATCATAAAGCCGTCCATAACCTTGCCACCCTACCACAACTACATTCCTTTTTGCATTCGTACGTGTACGTACTTCTACAGAGTTGTAGTGATGGCATTTATGATGTTTTGTTTTCAGTTTCTTAATTGTTTTATCACAAATGATTTGCTTTATTTCCTCTTGATTCTTAAGTGCCCATTTAAAATGGCTATATAGTATAATATTACATGATTAGAAGGTTCTGGGATTTTTCAAGCCATTCTTTGGATGTCAGACAGTTAGATCATTTCCGTGTGTGTGAGAGAGAGGGAGAGAGAGAGAACTCTGTAGTGAATCAGTGTTGAACTGTTTTTTTTAAGATCTGATGTTGGGGATGAAATTACAGGGGTTCATGAGAATTTTTGTGACTCTTGCTGTTTTCCTCTAGATTCTATTTGGCAGAAGTTGACTCTGCCAGCAGCGAATGAGGAGATACAGTATTTAAACTACTATGTTCTGCTTAATGGGTTAAGGGGCTGAGAGCCTGGTCCATAGTAGTTTAGCCCCTTCAGCTTTTTTCTTTCCCAGATCGTAAGACATTATGGTCAGGTTATGCAGTAGCAGAGGCACAGAGGCTTCGTAGAATTTTCTGAGTCTCTGGTTCATTTGGCAAAATGAGGATAATAACACCTAAGGTATTATTACATAATAATTGCATCTATCATGTTATATATTATTACATAAGAGATCATTATATAATATATAAGGTATTGGTGAGGGTAGCATGCAAAGTTCTTGGTATGCAATAGGCCCTCAGAAACTGTTGGTTCCTTTCTTTCTTTTCTCTTTGAAGTCTTTTAATGCCCTTGGTAGCCATGAGTGCAGAACTGTGACAGACGTGGCCAGCGCAAACATATGCCTAAGAGCCTGGCACTGATGGAATTTTATGTAGCTTATTACCAGAGCAGTATGAGGAGTGGGCTTGAGCCCTGAGCCCCTTGGCAACACATTTTAGTGTTTGCCTCCCTGTCTCCTCCAGTCTCTGGGGGCCTGGAGTATATACTCTCTTGCCTTATTGCAGGTTCAGACTCCAGGCTATTACCCAGTGGTAAACTGGGTCTGGGAATTACCTCCAGCTGTTGATGTCCAGGTTTGGCCTGCCAGGTATATAGTTGCCTGAGGCTCAGAGGAAGCAAGGTCTGGGGGAGCTCTAAGCTTCTAGGAGTGAATTCACCTTGGAAAAGAGAAAAGCCGTTTGAAACTGGGTGCCACCCTGGCCATGGACTTGTCCAGGGAGGTGCATGGACACCTGGGGAGGCAGGAACAGCTTTGGACTAAGCTGACGATTCCTGACCGTCAAGGGTCTTAGTGTAGTATATGGCTGACCAATTGCCTTTAATTTCTATGAATTGCCATTAATGTACAAGGGATGAGAAGGAGGAGAAATGAACTATCCGGGTTGGGGCCTCAGATGAGATATTTTCACCGAAGGCTCCAGAGGGAAAGTCAAGCAGGAGAAAAGAGGACGGGTAACCAGAGCTGGCCTGTGGTATAACCATCCTTTCCTGTGAGTAAAAGAAAGCAAATAAGCACAAAGGTACTTAGTCCTTACTATGCCAGACAGTGTGCTAAATTCTTTACGGATATTATTTCATCTTCATAATAAACCCACACGCTGGTGTTACAATCACTGCTCTGTGAGTCTCCTAAGGAGACTAGAACTCAGAATGCGTAACTCCCATGGCCCCCAGTCACACGGTAGGTAAACGGTAAGCCTGGGACTTGGAGTACTTAAAGAAACCCTAATACTTTCTCTATAGGTGAAGTAAAATTGAGGGGTATTTCCTCATACCTGCCTACATATGTATTCTTTCCTGGATGGAAGATCATGAAGTCTGGGAGTCAGGGTCTCTTAATTCCCCAAGAGTCTCAATTCTTATTTTTCTGAGCCATTCCATTTCTAGCCTAAGAAAGACTTTGGGTTTTAGAGCTGGCTGCTCTTCCTTTAATGTTCTTACAGTGGTGAAAACTCTGTTTCATTCACTGACTTTACCTTTGTTACTGGGCTTCTCTAGCCATTGCTGGGAAATTCCAGGGGTAGCACAGTGATTAGGGTTGATCTCCCCATGCGCATGTCAGAACAGGGGCGTGTAAACAGGTTAGTTTGCTCCTTGACAGCCAGCGGCTCATTGCTGTCCAAACCCCGGGTGGGGCTGCTACCTGCACATTTCCTGTGGAACCTTCACTCTGAACTCCACCCTACATTTCACAGTTGGGTAGAAGTGCTTGTGCTCTCTTGGTACACTGGGGGCTCCCCAAGATCCTGAAGCAGCTGGAGTTTGGCATCTGAAGTGTCAGTGGAACTATGAGGAGACTTGCTTGACGGAAGGTGAATAGCATGTGAGGGGACAAGGACCAGACTGAGAGTTAGAAGAACCAGCTTCTCGTTTTGGTTCTGTCCTGAGAGAGTTTGGCAAACCCCTTTTCCTCTTGGGTTCTTAGTTTGTCCATATGTAGGTTAGGGATGTTAGACTGATTAATTCCTAATGTTTCTTACAGATCTAAGAGTCCTTTTCATCTCTAATTTTTGTTTCACGGAAATGATCCCTGCTTGTAATGACCCTTGCCTCTAGAGTCCCTCAGTTTCATAGCCCTGGCTGCTAATTCAACTTTCAAGGACTTAATCTAGAAGTTCCAGGCCGCTTTAGTGCCATTTCAGTCTTGCTCTGATTCTTTTCCCTGGCTCTATTCTTTGCCCTTGTTACTTGTTCCCCAGCCCTCCTGTTCTAGCTTAAATTGTGGGACTTAGTCTGATACCCCTGCTCTTTAGCCCTTGGACCTCACAGGGTGCCCCTGCTCCCTGTTCACTCCCTAATGTTTCAAGGGCCAGATTCCTATCTGGTCTTCCCAGAAGTTACAGTTCATCTTTGATTCTTGTCCCTGTGGCTGTCCCCTTATTGCCTGGGATAAACACTTCCTTCTTTGATTCTGTGCCTGCCACCCCTTCCATTGGCTCTGTGTGTGCTGTCCCACATTCTCTGCTTTCCTGGGTCTCAATGATGTTTACCTCCTTCTTGACACTGAGCTCTAAACAAAAGGCCAGGGAAGCAGAAAGATGGAATGATTAATTCCAAAGATACTAATAAAAAATAAGTGTTTGAACCAGGTTCTTAAAAATCTGTAGGAGTTTAGCAAAAGTAGAAGGACATTCCAAGCAGAGGGGACAATATAAACTCAAACCATAGCTCTAGATTGGCTTTGAACTCCTGATGCAATCAAGATGCCCACCCATTCCAGCAGCTGGGCCTAGTTTTGCTATTGGCTGCCTGTCCAGTCTGTCCTGTCACTGTCTGAAGGAAAATAACTTTCAAGTATGTCATCTCATTTGGTCCTAGAGTGATGCCATGAAATAGGCCAGAATAGGAATGATCATTCCCATTTTTTAGTTGAGGAGAGAAACTGAGGCCCAGAGAGGCTAGCTAGGAATTAGGGGAAGATCCAAGGCAAACAGCCTGAATCCCAGTGCTTCTAAGGGCTCAGTCTGCAGCCACAGTCCTGAGTCATGTTCCTGGTTTAAATTCTGCCCACGTTTGGTTCAGGAGCACCAAATCCCAGCCGGAGAGCTCCGTATACATGTGCACATGTGTGCACACACAGAGCCATTAGAGCAGGAGCAGGAAACATGGAAATAAACAAGAGTTGAGCAGAGATTGGGTAATCGTCAAGCCAACAGCCCTCATTTTGCTGCAGAACTAAAACTGTTAGAGGATCAACCTGTGCACAGGGTCTAAGTGCAGTCTGTCAGAATGAGTGGGAAAGGAGCTATTTTTAGTTTGCAGAGTCACTCACTCAGCTGTGTTAGCTGAGGTTCGAGCCAGTCCCCTACGCTTTCCACGGTGTTATTTCTGAAGGAGAAATACCACTTGAATGCTTGTGTAAAACTCATTAA